CCATTCTTTAAAAGGCATTATTATTCAGAGTCAGAATCTAAAAATGGCATTTGCTGTGCATCTTTTGGTTCTACATCAGTAATAGATGGGGGCAGATCTTTCTTCGGTAAGTTTCTTCTCCGGTTTCTCTTCCTTTCTCTGGGTTCATCCTGCAAAGACATAAAAGTGCAACTCTTTCACAAAATCATAAGAGTATAAATCCATAAGAGTAAGCAATTTTATTGGCTTGTGTAGGAAGAAAAGAGAAGAAATATTTCAGCATTTTAAGCAAAAAAGTATCAAGTATCTTAAGGATAAGGCTGTGAATAGTTTTTTACGAGAATAACCTTTAACCTAATTGAACATAGAAGGCTGGACGCAACAATTCATATATCAGATTGCAAGAACATCAGGTTGAGAAAGGTTGGAGGGCAATACATTCTAGAAATAGGGATACGTGGTATTAAGTCCCATGTCATCTGTGAAAATTGAAGTGTTGATATTCATTTCTGTTACAGTATAAGTTTTCAGCAACTCTTCTATCATACAGTACTAGAAAGATAAAAATATAAAACGTATTCATTTACATCTAACCATTCTTCCGGCACTTCATGGTCAGTAAAATGAATTAGTTCACAAAGTGCAGCAAATAATACCTTCATGCTTCCTCAACCCATAATATGTAAAGCAATCACTTACTGTGGTATCTGATTGACTTTGTTGACTTGACTGATCTAGACCTGTTGGCTGACTTCTTGCCCACCAGATGGTACCAGAATACAATAATGCTCCCAAAAGCAAGGCCGGGCCAATTCTTGGATCTCCTAGACTATCAGAAATTCTGTTTGAGATGCTACTGACTTTCCTTTTCATGCTGGTGGTTTTAGACTCTCCTGACCACACTGGTTCAGCGTCCTCGGGAACTAACTCAGGAGTTTTTGTTCTCTGTGATGGAGAAATAAGCAATACCATTAAAAGTTAAGAGGAAAATAAACAGTCAAACCAGACACAAATTATAATATACAAAATTTAGGGTTTATGGTAAATTGCCAAGCCTTTTCCTAAAACGGGTGGGACATAGGACTCAAACTGGAGTTGTTAACTTTACAATGAGAGAGTCATGCGACCTGAGTTAGACGTTTTTAGCCGAATATTAATTCATTTAATAGAAGGCCAATGGAGCATAGCTATCAACCAGTAGTGCAGTGCATATATTATAGGTACTTGAAATAATATAAAAGCCAAAGTTTGTTCTGAACAGAATTTTGAAGAGCCTTCTCAACGGAACCAGAACATAATAAGCTATATTTATTAGATAAGAAGATTCAGCATGTGAAATAACTTTACCAAAACCCACAAAGGACAGAACTAAGTGCAAAAGAAAAGGAAACAATTATGAAAGTTCCAACAAATTATTAAACAAGTAATTTATAATTTTCATCACAAAGATGTACTTACGTAGAAGGGGAGATCCTTAGAGTCACCATCTTCAACCATATTTGAGATCCATTTGATGATCTAAAACAAAACACAAAAAAGGATCAAGCAGCAACTTATACACATTAGAAAGCATCAATCGACCAAAAGAAGTGAATTAGATTAATGATGTGACTATATTATTGGTCAACAAGCTGTGACGCAGAATCTACATCCTCTTTCTGTGGCATTTCACAATTAGAAGTTCACAAGAAAAAATCAACAAATATGACACCAAATTTCACAATTAAACACTCATACCTGTGGGATTTCAGCTGAACCATTGTAACTAACAACAAGCTGTGATGCAGAATCTACATCCTCTTTCTGTAATTGCCAAATTGTTTTTGGCTTCTTCTCATGCTTAACATCTTCAGTAACATTCCTCATATAGCGCACAATCAATAGCTGAGGGACATCAGTTACAACTCTCCTTGGCCCACAAGTTTCATAGCTGGTTTCTGAGTGAAGGTAGAAAAAACAGTATTTCTGGAGAAAAACTGACGTGTATCAGAAAATTCAGACACAAAAGGAGTTTCATATAATTAACACTAAGAGTAATAAGTCAATGATCTTTCCTAGAATTGTAACTGGAAGGCTGATGTAGCCCAGTGGGATATGATTCAGAAAAGAAAGAAAAAGGAACTCCAAATCTATTACGGCATGTTTGATTCATTGAATGCAATAGGGGTGGAACGAAATAAAGGTTTAGTGGGAATTAACAGCAACTGTAATATAATTATGGTTATATTACGTTGTTTAGTTGGTTTTTTATTTTGATGAAAATTGTTTAGTTGGTATTTAATTACCAAGTTGGAGTAACAATAAAATAGGCACCAAATGACTAAAATACTCCATAATTATACATCAAAATTTAAAAGAGTACACCATTTATTCTCAAAAAAAGAAAATTGACTTAAAAAAGATTGTCCTGGACTGGTTGCATGACCAATCATCTTCCTCTTTTAGTGGAAAAAGAGGAGAATGGAGGTTTATGCATAAGAGGTGTAAAAGAGAAAGAAAAGAAATAAGGAGGCAACAGAGGAAGCAAGGAGCCCTGATTTACTGAGAGCAAAGTTGAGATGGAGAGATTTCATTAAGGGGTAAGGAATTTATGGATAGCCAGGTATTTTTCTTTCTTCATCAGTATTTGTATGCTTTGATTTATTCAGTGATTACAGAAGTGGATAGCCATTGTGACAGAAATTGTGCAAGAGATGAATGATAATTGAAAAACTATAAGCATTTCAATCCCATCCTGGATGCAAGGTCAAGATGATAATTTTCCCATCTCAGCTACTTGGTACATAATTTGCACTACTAGAAACTGGTGAAAGTTTGAATTTGCCCCCTTTTTGGGGTCAAAGAACCTTGACGTCAGGCATAATGTTTGATTGAAGTGAAACTAACATAACCTTCGTGATAATTTTATTTGTGCTAAAAAAGCAAAACCAAAATTGTAGTCAACATGAAGGTAACGGATAAGATGGACTCACTTGTTGGGCTTCACCATCAAGCCAAACAAACGTCAATCTCTTTTTTTCCAGTGCGATTGCTGCTGTAGCCATGCTCTCGTCATTGCCAACTGCATTTGGTTCATTGTAACTTGATAATTTTTCCTGGACCCTGTACATGGTCTATAAACTTTTATAATGCCTCATTTCCACAAATAAAGAATATATATGCATCAAGAAACATATGAGATTCAGTAAAGAATAAACATTACAGCATTATATAATGTATAGTACTTAATATTCTTGTAACGTTTTCAACTAAAGTTCCTAGTAGGCTGCCAGTGGGGGAAGGGAACAACTGAATGGAAGTAATGAACATAACACCACTAATGCTTTCACAAAAGGCTTCTTCCAAATAACAAAACCTACATTTTGCAATCCGACATAATCATTTTCTTTTTACAGAAAAAGATGTTTTATTAAGACTAGAGGGAAAATTAAGTAGAAAGAGGGTGATACTCCTTATCATGTCAACCCATAAAAACCAAAGAAAACATAAGAAATCAGAGACCCAGCGAACAAATATGTGGCCAGGCCATTAATGAACAAAAATGATAGTCTCCCAATTCTGATGGAGATCAGAAATGGTTCTCTCAGACAATTGTCCATGTGTCTTGACCCATAAGGTTGCCAGAAAAGTTATTTTCTCCCAAAGCTCATGGAAGGATGTATGTCTCTCTTTGAAGAGTTTCCGGTTTCTTGCAAGCCATAGTGTCCATAAACCAGAGAAAATGGTTCCTTGGGACAATAATTTTGCTCCCTTTCTTCCCCTATCTCTCTCTTTATATAGACATAAGAAGCTCTCAACTGCAGGAGTGACCCAATGGAGACCCCCTTCCAAGTTATCTCATAATGGAGGAATGGGTGGGACAATCACACATCATCTTAACAGTATCTTTTTAAGAGCCCAGACAAATTCCCCAACATCCCAGAACTATGGTTGACATTTTTTTCTCAAGAATACATAGTAATGCACATGAAAATTACAAGCTCGAACACATTGAGCACAAAAGTTTGCACATATGTCAGTATCAGTGCTAAATGAAAGTAAACCAAATAAAAGAAACTGGTAAAGTTCCTTCTCCACTACATCCCAGGTCATCAGTTTGACAAAACGATTAAGAATTAGTGTAATCATCGTTAAGAGAAAGAGACTTGGAGGTTCAGAAAGGAATATGCTTATTTAACACTGAGTTGAGTCAAGTCAAATTTCACTTGTATGCAATATAAATGTGAATAAAATACAAATGTAATCAAGATAAGAACGAAAATAACAATCTGATTTCAAGTCAATTCCATGTCCAATTCAAGTAAATTGACAAGTAATAGTACAAACAAGCATTGTGGAAAATTGAATCTTTTAGTTAGTTCAATTATGCAGCAAGTATGTACATTATACTTGATTCTTATATCTAATAAAGACCCATGAATTATATAAGAATAAAGTAGCCTTGAACCAAATGAAGCGGAATAGTATAAAATAAACTTATTCTTAGTATTTCTGTTTGCTTCTTTATGTTCTTAATAAAGAATTTAAAGGAGTATGTGAGAGTTCCAGTTTTGAAAAATTTTTCGTGAATGAGGAAAAAGGTCAATCAGATTTTCCTAAACCAAATATCAGATAGTCACTGTTCATAAAATTACAATATTATGTGGTCCTTGTTTGATACCTGAAAATTTTTGTTACGGCAGTTTATTTGTAGGTTTAGTTCCTGTATTGGAAGAGTACTAAAG